CAATATTTTTAATCTTACAGTTTTATTCTGTACTCCACTAAGAACCTATTAACTTTGCAGACCTGTTAACAACCGGATGATGATAGAGAAATTATTTGATCATATGGGCAAGTGTGCATGGTGCAAACATGAGGGAGGGGTTTGCAGTCACTTGTGGGGAGTCAACTGTTTTTCTTTCTTGTTGTTGACTCAAACAAGGTAGACTGTCACAGTTTGAACATGAATATGTCAAGTATTAGACAAACCAGTAAGGCCTACGTGACAAGCTAGTTAAAAAAAGGCTTTGTTAATACAAATGCTTTGAATAATTTCCTAAGGCATTTTGCAAATACTGTCAACTATACAAAACATGCTTCTGAATGCAGTATGAACTACTCAAAGTGAGAAGAATAAGGCATACGGCTACACTATATTCCATGCAGGTAATAATTATTTGTAAATAAATAATTTGTTCGTTAAAAAATTCATTGACCTCAGTTTCTTCTTTGTTTATCAAAGTGAATCCAAAGGGTTGAAACCTCAATTTAGCGTGCGGGGTCATCTAAACGCAAACACAGGCCAATAAGAGCTCAAAGGCACATTTGTTATCTCGGAGCAACACCAACCCCGTGATAACGAATTCTCAATATCAAATTTGCCCACCACAATGCAGCACTATTCGTCCCTCAGAGGAACAGAAAGAGAGTTGTCCTCTCATCGCACCTGTTCCGTCTGTGCGCATCCCGCGTTGAGTAAAGCGGCCTAAATGTAGATCTCATTATTCACTTGAAAACCAGGGTTTGCAGCCCTCCACTTTTGCAGCTTTCTAAAATTCTGTCCCGACTTGTATCCTAATTAAACAAAAATTGCTGAGCCATTTATTCAAGCAGTAGCCTATATGTGCCATACAGCGTCGGCGCCACGGGGGGGCCTGAGGGGGCCCGGCCCGGCCACCTCGGTCACTGTGCCCCCTCACCTCTGTTGCCGTCTCCGTAGTGGGCGCCCTGATTTTTGTCGGTGAGGCAAGGTACTGCCCTGGGAAGGTCTCCCATGCTGTTAAATACACAGATTAAAAGCGAAATGTTTTCATTTCGGTTCGTTCTTAGCAAAAAAAAAACTTTTTTCGTTCAGGTTATGCAGAGCGAAATAAAAACAGTGCTTCATTTAGAAATAATTCTTATTAACTTTGCTATTATTCTTGAATTTTCAACAGATAGCAACAGAGTCTGGGCCAAATCTGGTTTACATTCACTTCTGGCTTTTTTCAGTCTTGATTGCAAATGTTTGTTTTTTTTAATGTACGATGGATAATTAAAACAAATATCAGGCGTGTGTATTTATAACATCAATTACTAGGCCTACATTCTTTTTTTCAGAAATGGAAGTAACTTAAAATGTTATTGTGTGTTTGTAATTTTAATATTTTTATATATAGGCCTATACAGCAAAACTACAGAGCTTCCAGTAGGTTCTTTTACGGAGCTGTAAACACGGGAATCTCCGACCGCATGCAATCTTTGACGAACACGCAATTCATATACCAAACTGCTATATGTTATTAAATTGTACATAGGCTATATATCAGATTAATTTATTTACAAGTTTCGTGTTTGTGTTTATCCCGTTTTTTCCCCCATTGCATCTGAAAATTACTTTCAGAAACATTTTTTTTTCAAAGCAGACCCCCCAAATAGTGTGGCCCCCCCAATAAATTGTGCCTGCCCCCTCACTTTGTGCGCTCTGGCGCCGACCCTGGTGCCATAGATGCTGAATAATCACCCAGACTGTGGTCTCAGGCTTTCACTGGTATAGGTTAGGAGCGGACACGGCAACGGAGCGGGTAGTAAGATTAGTAATATGAGCAAAGAAGATTTGAGGCTTAGCGCCGACCTCAAACTGGCTTCTGCGCGCAAATGGTTTCTTGTGCACTTCTCTTAGGCTATATCGCTATCCACTAACGCGGCAAGTGTAGAAATGTGAAGATTTTAGCTGCTTTGTAATGTTTTGATGTGTAGCTCATAATTAATGCATGGCTGACATTAAACATGTGTTGTTGCATTAAAATAGCCTACGGGTTAATGTAAAACATATGCATGCTTAAAGAGATTGAAAACGAACGTTCACAACCCTTACGAAAAAGAAGTTTATTCAAGTGCATGCTATTAGTATACTTCTTTTAAACTAAAAATAGGAAAGTATACTTTTAGTCTACTTTTTATGTACTTCTCAGAAATAGACTTAAAATGACATTTAAGTATACTTGACTTATACTTAGAAAAAGTCTAAATATATTTTAGCTATAATTGTGCTCCTAGAATCCGTGTTTTCATTGTTATAC